CATATATGACAAAACCCTAATATCTAAATATCATTTTTTCCAATCTACTAGAATAACTAGCTCCAAATACTCAAATATTTAGATTTCTTATCATATTTTTCAAGTATAAGCTATAAATTTAAAACCCTAAACAAAATTTACAAAAACTAAATCAATAATTATTAACCTTACCTCTTGAAGAATTAAATAAACAAGATTAAAGTAGTTGGCACAAGATTTCTTCTTTCTTTTTTCTTTTTCTTCATTTCTTTTTCTTTTCTTCCCTTTCTTCTCTTCTCTGCGTTTCCTCTCGTTCAACACACTTTAGTGTGTGTTAGTGTGTGATTTTTGTGGAAAAGAATGGTCAAAGTTTGAATATAAATGCCACTTGTTCAAAATTGCTAAGGAAGGTCCCTATTCTTTAATAGAATATAACTTTTAAATTCCAAACTTCCAAATATATATAAGTAAATTCTCAACTTTAAATTGTAGCCAATTTAACCCTCATATTTGGCTAATTATAAAATAAACCCCAAATAAAACATTTAATTTCATTTTAGTCCTTAATTGACTTTGACTTTGACTAGTCAACTTTTGAATTTTGACTAGAAAATTTGGGTTGTAACATCTCTACCTTCCAGATTGTCTTCGTATCTTAGCAACGCGATTTGGCCGGTATTTGGAACAGATCATGCTACCCTACATCGAACACTGGCCTCTGGTGCTCGAATCTATGTGGAAATTGATTTATCAGCCATGCGGTAGAATGTTTTCCAATCATAGTGGGTTCGACGACTCATTGGCAGAGTATTAAATATGAAAAAAATGGGCTTCCACCGTAAAAAATGTAGGAGATAGGATCACACGGAGGCTGTTTGTAGAGTTGGTCAGCAACTCCATGAGAGGCAGGAAATGAAGAAAGTGGTTATTGCCGGTCCAGAAAAAGAATAGTGGAGATGAAAAAATGGAGACATGGCTAGTGATGTGGGAACTAGAAAACAACATATGCAGGAGGGTGGAGAAATGACTCACTTGTATGCTAGCATTCATATTGGCAAAAGTCAAGAGCAAGGAGGTGATAACAAAACAAAGATCGGTGAAAGTAGTAGATGATATAATCTGGCTGTGGAGAATAATAAGGAGAACAAGGATGGAACAGAGATTAAATTGGGAAGAGACGAAAATATGATCGAGGATGGAACCGAAGCCTCGAAGACTAGTGGAAGCAATATTGTTTTGCTTGGAGGAGGCATTCTTTTGAAACCTGTAGGTGGGACTTATCTGGTGGATGGGGAGCAAGCAAAGAAAGATGGAGAAATAAAGGAGCGATAGGTAAATTTAAATGAAGATTTAATGGTTACGATTGAGAATAATGAACAAATAAATGATGAGGAGGTACAAGAGGATGATGAAGGTGTCAAAGAAAATGATGAGAAGGTACAAAAGGAATATATGGAACGTAACATTGCAGAAGTGGCTATGACAGTATCAAATATAGAGATGGAAGGTATTGTGGAGATACTAGGAAAGATTCGTGATTGCATTTCAGATTCTGAACAAAGGGCTTAACAACACACGAGGAAAACAGTACACAAGGTCAGAAGCTCTACTAGGGTTCCAAGCAAACCCTCTAGGCTTAATTTATAAGTTGCAACTATCTCTTTTGGAATGTGCGAGGTATAGGGACCTCGACACGCATGTTACGGAAGTTCATGAGAAGGTATAAGCCAAAACTAGTAGGTACTATTCGAAATGAAAGAGGTGATATTGTCATAGCCTTTGCTGAGGAACTCGGTGAGGGTACTAATAATGGAGCTGAGCTATTGGCATTATTAGATGGGCTTCGACATGCTAAAAGATTGGGGATTAACTATCTCAAAGTGGAGATTGATTCATTGATTATCGTTAATTGGTTAAGGCGGAAGTTTTGTTTTATTTAGTATCTAGAAGATTAATGGGAAGAAAAACAATACTTGCTGTCAACAATCTTTTGTAGATTTCAAAACATGTCGGAAGGGCAACTCGGTAGCTGATATCTTGTCAAAATTGGGAGCTTCTTGTGTTTCATAGATCTGAATGGACTCTATCACAATACCATCATCAGTTAGAGGAGCTTTGCGTATGGATAAATTGAGCATTCCCAATTGCGAGACTTTTCTCCTCACAGTTTGTCTTTAAATCTTCCAATGTTGTTTTAGATTACACGGAGTTTGGCTTACTTTGATTTGGATGGTGAATTGCAAATCTTATGTAATATTATGTAACTACGGTATTCCTTTGCTACAAGTAAGGGTTAATCAATAAAAGATCGTTACCAGCCAAAAATTTAAAAAAATTACGTTTTACAATTGAATTATAAAACTGATGCATCATGCCGATCACCGGTAGACCACGGGGTCCTGGGGTCACATGACCCCCAACTTTTGAGGGTTTTTTTTTTTTTTTTTTTTTTTTTTTTTTTTTTTTTTGTTGAAGTCTTGTTTGGTATCGATTGAAATCTTAATTTTAATTTAAATCAAAGTTAACAATTAATTTTAATAACATATTTCATGAAATCCTTAACTTTTTTTTTATGTCAAAATGTACTAAAAATCTGAGTTTAATCCCCAACAAATGGGAGCAAAATCACAGTAAATTTGAATTTTTTTTTCTTTTTTCTTGGTCTATCTTACTATCACCCTCACACTTTTTACCATAACGTTAGCCCTTCTAATTTTTTTAAAATTTGTCTTTAGTTTATCTACAAATTATCGCGTTTACTACAAATTTTAACTTTCCAATCAAATTTTCAATTAATTAGAACATAAATTTACATTTTCTCCAATCCTATTTATGTACGTATATAGAAAGTATCTGAATTGATTATATTCAATTTAACTAATATTTAACGAATTGTTTTTATTTAATTGATTATTAGTATTGAATATTGGTTATATATTTTTACTTTCAATTACTTGAACTGATTGTTTATATTAAATGCACTACAAATTTTTTAAACGTAAATACGTACTTTTTTTTTTTGGTGATGAGCAAAGTATTAATAAAATAATTTTTCGAAATCAAATGGATAAGGATAATGAACAAAATATTAATTAATGAAGAAGTGGTTTTTAAATGTAAATCTGCTTCTCGGATCAAGTATGAATCATTCAAAATCAAGAATAAAGTATTCGATTTATATAAAGTTTGATTGTGCCTCCAACTCAAAATGTATCGATACAAAAGAATTAAGCCCTATAAACTAATTATGTGTGTGTATATATGTTTTAGTTTTGCTACTGTTTTATAACTTTTTTAACTTTTAATAACTTTAATCCTATTCAGTACTCTCTTTAGTTTTCTATAAATCATTTCATAGAATCACGTATAAATCCTTTTTTCTTTTTCTTTTTTTTTTTAGATTCTTCTGATATTAAATTTAACTTTTTTGCTTGATTTCCTATACATTGTATAGAAACTTCTCTGTGGTGTCCAAAAAATTGAGTACTTGATTCTAACATTCCTTTATTATATAATACATTTGGATTTAAAAGTCTTAAACCATGTGTCTGAAATCTAGTATAGTCTTGTTGTGGATCTAATATTTTGATCATACTGTTCTAGTTTATTTAACACTCTATCTATTAAACTTTTGTTTATACTTGATAAACTTAATCTAGGTCTTTCTCTTGATGAAGAGGTTTTTTCATTTATAGTTCTAGATCTTCGTAAAAATGGATTCATCTTGGAAACTTATATTCTTTAGATAATTTTCTAGTTACTTTTTCTTTACCTTTTTCTCTAAAACTTAAATTTTCTAACTTATCTGTTAAAAATCTTAAATCTTTTTCTACGTTTGATGAAGAGGGTATGTTATCTGTAATTTTTGTTTTATCTAAACTATCTATCTTTTTATGAAGAGATAATAATAATGCAATTATTATATTATGTTGTTTAATAATAATTGTGTCTGAATTTTTTGGAGAAGTATGTCTAGTAAGTCCTTCAACTTCTATATGAAAGGTTTTACAATATTCAAGTGCTTCTAAATAATTTTTATCTGTCATTAACTAAGAATACAATTTTTAAGATCTTTAACTAATTCTTCTATTTTAATTGTTATTCTTTTAATGTCTATTTCTATTTCTTTAGGTTTGTTAAAATCTAAATTCTTTATTATTTCTGAAAAATCTAGTTTTATAGGAATTTTTTCTAATTTTACTAATTTTTCTGGGATACTAGAATTTTGATTCTTAATATAATCTAAAGATTCTTTAATATTTTTTATTTCAATATTTTTATCTATAATATTGTCTTTAATTATTTCTAAATAATTACACTTCTTTTTATTTTCAAATTCTAAATTTCTGGACAAATTTATAATTAAGTCTATATATATATATATATATATATATATGCTTATATTTTTCAAATAATATATTTTTAATTATTTTTTCTTTTATTTCTAAAGGTAAATTTTTAATTATTCTAAAATTTCTAAAACTTCTTTTATGTCTTTACTGTATGTTCCAACTATATTTCTTCTTCTATATAACCTTCTATATTAGAACTATATTTTAACTGATATCTTAATCCATTGTTATAAATTTCAAGAATTTCTAAAATCATAAACTTTTTGTGTCTCAATTTCTACTTCCTTTTTGCTCTGATACCAAAAGAGGG